TGAGAAACAAATATGAAAGTCTATTCACAGTTAACATAGCCTTCACATCTCAACTTTAGCTTCAGTCAAAAATATTATTGTGTGTTTAACAATTGTTAATTTCACGAAAATCATCTTCGATAGTTTGAATCTTAGAAAATACTTCTCAATGTTTCTATTTTTACAGAATACCAAGCTTAAGTAAAAAATAGTTAGTTCAATCATTCCCATAAAACGTATTTTCAAAGAAAAATATTGCGCATTAATTTATTTCTTTGTTCTCATCTGTATGTATTTCATTTTCTTAAGGTGTTTCCCGACGATTCAATTCCTATCCAGAACGGTGTGCTTGGAAAGCAGTATGCCGCAGTGAGGCGCCACGCTAAACTGGTCTGTTAGAAGGGTTGCATCACGCAGGAGCTGGCTCATGACCTTGTCTTGAGAGCCTTCCCTGAGCTCCCGTTTCTACAGCTTTCTCTCCTTGATTCATCTGCTTCCACGTAGTGTCAGTCTTTGGACTGGCGGCTGTATCAGGGACTCTTTCGTAACAACGATGGCATTCAGAATATGTCCTTTTAGAATATTTCCAGAGTGTAGAGGATTACGTGGTAATAAAAGTAGAGCGGAGATTGCAAGAAGAAAATTTACGTGTGAAACTACGTTGCAATTGATATTTTATTCTGGAATGTAAAAATTTAATTGTAATATTACAAGATATCATTAAATCAAGGAAATCAATATAGGTGGTTTGTGTTAGAACGCAAACATGTCGCAATAGTATAACTAACTTACAGTCATCTTGGTACTATCTTCCTTACTGATTTTTGCGCTCATACAATTCTAATATTGAAAAAATAACAAACTGCTATGTATCTTCGTGTAATATGACACCTCATACACGTGAGACCACTGTCCGTTTAGACAGCATGATGACCGGCATTTTGCAAATTGCGAAGGCACGTGTTATTATATAGCAAGTTAAATACAAAGATTAGCCAGTGACTATAGCCATCAACCCCACATGTTGCTAATTTTATTAATGGAATTTCATGTTTAGTCAATCGTGTAAAGTAAAAGAGCAGTTTTTTACTCTGAGCACAGCCTGGTAGGATTCCTCCATTAACAGTTTCATATATTTAAACCCTCTTTACAGATCTTTAAACATTAAATTATCTTGTGTTAGAAATGTAAAATCAAAATTAATGGTTTTACCTGCATTCTGAAGTCTTCAATGTAGAGTTGATTTTATTGATTGCGTCGACTATTTTTTCTTATATTGCTGATTTTTTGCATCATTCTTACTTCGACGATCAAGGTCCATAAAAATTTCCATTAATTGGCAAGTGAAAAGATTTAGATGGACTTAACATGTCGCCTTAGAATTTTTTAATCACTTGCCTGGTGTGTTCAGAAACCTTTGTCGAACTCATGATACTTCATCCCCGCTTTCCCTTTTCTCATTTCTGAAAGCTCAAGCATTTTACATAATCCTCAGAAGTACCACCTTCGTCGTTTTATATTCAGGGCTGGAAACACTCGATGAATTACAGTGATTTTGGCTATTTTTCTACAATTATATTGTAAAATCACACAATGCTGCAAGTACTTCACTCTTTTAAAAACATGACCGATGCTAAGATCAATATTCACACTCCGAGAAGTAATAGGTTCATAGTTTAAAAAAAAATAATTCCTCACAATTTTTCTCACTTTTAAAAAGCGCCTTTCTTGTAGGAATTAAAATTAATGTTGTTCCGTGAAGAGTGGTTTGTCACATGAAATTAATTTAAAAATTCTCAATTTTTACTTGTAAAAGTGGATGTCGATTTATTACAAATATAGAATAATCAATAGAAGAAACGTTTTTTAACAAAACAAAGTATTTAATTTTTAATGAAATAGCTTGATACACAGAACAGCAAATGACTTACCGCGCAAACTAGCCTATTTAGTTTTTTTTCTCTTAACTCCTGCAATTACAGTTCTCTTCTTTCGCACCATGAAGTACTTTTTGGACAATACACAATGTGTAGTTATTTCATAGTATGTTCATGCCCGTTTCGCGTGAAATCATTGGAGAGAAACTCTCGTACACGAGAAAGTTCCTGGATTTTTCATTCTCTGAATACGTAGTATTTATATTTATATAACTTCTGTTTAGTTTTTAGTAAAGGTTTACCTTACAGTTGTATATTTTTTCTTTGAACCGTGCAATTGAGGTTCTATCCTCTTTTACCTTGAGTCAATGTTCTCATAACAGTGTGTGTGATTGCCGCAGGGTTCCCAATTCGCGCGAAACCATTCAAGAGTAACTCTCGTGCACGACAAAGTTCTTGTGTATTTTCATTACCATAATCTGCACGATTTATTTTGATATAACTTCTATTTATATTTGAATAAAACTTTGTCTTTTGGAAAATCAAATACTAGACATACGATTATTTAAAACCATCAATTTAGAGTAGTAAGCTTCTTCTTCGACCCGTGCAATTGGGGTTATATCATCTTTCCCCTTGAGAGAATCTTCTGATAACAGTTATTGCATAGTGTGTGCTCTCCGCACGGTTCCCACATCGCGTGAAATCATTCGAGCGTAGCTCGTGCGCACGTGAAAGTCTCTGAATATTTGCATTCCACCGGGCGCCACTCCGCTCCCCGTTCGCTATTGAGCCGATCGTATTTGGCGATCGCCAGCTGCCTTGGCGAGGAGTTGCGAAAGCCAGAACAAGGCAGTGCCGCTCATCGTGTTTGGACAATGCCATCTCGTTTCCCTCGGCCATACCCCCCCCCCGCACGAAGTCTCTTTCGTGTGTGTGTGTGTGTGTGTGTGTGTGTGTGTGTGTGTGTGTGCTCTTTTGGTTGGTGATGAATGGCGGGCATTTGCGCTTCTCCGATATGATGAATAGTGGCTCTATGTGCTTTGCACGTAGCGCTAGTTCGCAAATAGGGTTGCAAATTTCTCTGCAGGGTTGCGGATGCAAAGCTTTTGCAGAGGTATTTCACTTTCATTAAAATTTGTTTTCTTGAGGTGAGATTGAGCATATTAATTTTTTTTAAAATTCCATCTCATACAGTATTACTCTAAATTACTACTGCTAAACATTTATCGTTCAAGGCCAAGAACGGGGTCGGTGGACAAAAAACGAAATATAACGTTCTCGCATAGCAATGTATAGATGACAAGATAAAATTATATTTTAAAAAACCTGGGTAAGGATTACACGGTCGAATTCACGTACACGATTAACACGCTAAATTTTTAATTTTATTTAATATAGGCCTAACGACAATTCAAGAGATTAAGTAATGAAAGTGATTACATGTTTATGGTTTTTTTGACGTCGTTTACTATTGTTATTGAGGCTTCTCTGTTCTAGTCCACCAAAGGGTTAATCATACAGACATTTTTTGTTCTTTTCTAGGGTCCATTAAATGTATGCGTTATTTGGTATTTTGTGTAGTGATCTTTACTAAAATTAAAATATCAATTTACGTTAAATTAAATTTTGAAAATAATAACTAAACATAAAAAAAATACTTGACAATTAATTGTCATTCCTTTTTACCTCTTTTCAGGAGTTCTATAAGAATGATCTTGGAATATATATATATATATATATATATATATATATATATATATATATCCAATGCTTTGATTTTTCGGTTTCCTAGGCCTGATGTATTGCCCATTATATCATATTCAATTGTTAACAACTTGTCATTTAATTGAAGATGCAAATCTGCCGGAAATGTATTCCGCGTAGTAAATGTTTTCAAGATTGGACGTGTTGACGCTTGCTCCAGACGCATTGCTTGCGTAACTTCTTGAAACTCTTGCAATGACTGGTAAGAAAATGTAATTTCAATGACAGTTTTTGTCGATGTCAATTTCAATATCATTTCCAGCCTGTTTTGTCGCGTGATAAATTAGTTAATTGTCTGACTAAAGATCAACAGTTGTTGCATTGTCATTCAATGTGGTGATGCATTTTCCTCATACAAATGTTCTATCTGATTACGCCATACAGAAACGTCTATCTGAAGGGAAATTTAAGTCGATTTTGAATTTTAATCAAAAATACCGATCAAAGCAGCCCATTCAAGAATTCTTCCCCAAATATAGGCTGAATTGGAGTCAGCTATCTAGCTAGTGTCGAAAATTCTGCCGCCCGTCGGACCCAAATATCTCCCAAACAGTGTCGCTGCAGTGATTGCTGACTGTAAACTACTAAATACCTTCTAACTACACTATCAAAATTTTCCCCATTAATTTAATGTAAATTACATTAAAGAAATTATCATGAACGCACATTAAATTTAATGTACGCATGTACATTAAGATGCAATACTCAAAGCTTATAGTCATATCTGGAAAGAAGTGATGAATAATCGTGAAGGATTGGTGATTATGAATACATAATATGAATGATGAGATACACGGAAAACGGGAGAACCTGCACATTAAATCTATATTGATTTTAACTAATGTATTAAATTTAATGTACAAATATACTAAGCATTTTTTTAAATTTACAAGGTTATATTAAGTTTCAGGTACAATACATTAATATACATTCAATTTTATGACATTGTCGCTTTTGTTAATTAACATCAGTTTGATACTGACTCGTGGCTAGCTCTTGGTCACCTTGACTGCTTTCCACTGCGCGGCCCCGAGTACTATTCCCGGTAAGGCAAGATTATAGTGCTCATTTTCCTTCCAATGTCCCAGTATATGTTGCTGTGTGACGATGAGAAAATTCACTTGTCAGTTTGAAAAGACCGGAACACGGCGTGGGGATGTCTACGTACTAACCCCACGTACCCCCTTAGCCCATGGCCGCGAGGCAGGGACGTCGCCGGTAGGCGTGAGCCCTGTCGCGCCAAGTACATACATACAGATTGATACTCCCTGTCTTTTTATATTCTTCGCGCAAACGCACAGAGTAGCGCGTGGCAACTGGTGAGCGGTGAGGCGGCCGGCGAGCGCCGTGGTGAGCGTTGTGCGGGTGATGTTGCAGATGAGCGGAGGCGCAGCGGAGGCGAGTGCGCAGCACCCGTTCCTGCGAGGGCTGCCGGAGGAGCAGCGGCCCAGCGGCTGGGAGGAGGGCGTCGCTAGCGTGCGCCAGTGGGTGGCCACGCGCCCGCACCTGCCGCCCATCTCAGGTCAGTGCGCCTCCCGCGCGAGCGACACTAACGCTAAAGCGATGCTCGCAATAGAGTATATTTTGGTCGGACGATGTCGGACGGTTTCGTCCGATATGCCCGATTCGTTTAATCACGTGCTTGTGAGTGGAAACGGGCATATTGGAAACGAACGATCTCTTCCGAAGGCGACCGCTATCGGACGAAATTATGTTTCGTTTGATTCTTCTGGTTCCGTTCGCCCAAAATGAGCTGGAGTGTCAAGGCCATAAGTAATACCCAGACTACCTACAACACAAGTAGATGATTTTGAGCGTGCTTTTCGCAAAAATTTAGAAGAATCAACTACTGAATTGTGAACATATTCTGACGATTTCGGGTGCAACACGTAGGTGGTTGTGCTAAAGAATGGCAGAGACTTTCTTGTCTCTGCCATTCTGTAGCACAACCACCTGTCTCTAATACATATATTTCTAAAGTCAAAGTTAGATTTTCAATTTTTCCCCACCCCCTTCCTATCTATTACCACCAAAACTACATTTTTTTTAAAAAATGTGGTCCCCTAATGATAGAAGAGAAAAATTTCATACCATATTGAAAGTTTGGTTCAAACATTTGGAGTCCTTTGTCAGAAAATGTCGTTTAAGTGTTTCTGAAAATGCCAGTTGTGAAGCTCATTTCACCCTAAACCTTTCAGCTTTCGAGAAACTTTATAAAAAAATATTTAAAGTAATTGGACGCACAAATTTAATAATGTATATGAATTGCTGGTAAAGTAAATATTATTTATGTAATAGATCCTTGAAAACAAATTAATACATTTGAGTATTTAAAAAAAAAACAAAAGAATATGTAAGTAGCATAAGTCACGTTATTCAATCCATCCGTTCAAAAATTTGAAGAAAAAGTTGCAGCCGTTTTGAAGAAATGGCGTTTGAATGTTTCTGAAAATGCGTAAGTTAGTTCATTTTTAAGCAAAGCTTTTGAGTTTTTGAACATTGTCAGACATCATTTGTACTCATAAATGCATTGTACAACACAATATAACATTGTACTCATAAATTCAATACCGTATACCCGTTGCAGGCAATGTGAGTATAAACGACGTGACTGAGATCAGTCAAAAAAATTACATTTATGTGATTTTTGAAAAAACAAAAGAATGGAGCAAAATTAATTTCATGTCATCTGTTACAGTACGTTTAACCCTAACCCTACCAAAAAGTTTGAAGAAAAAAATTGGATCCGTTCTTCAAAAAGTCTTGTTTTTCATATATTTAATATTGCACATATTTCACTCAATATTGCGCGAAAACTACTAAAATTTTCAAAAAATATGCACGATCTTAATGTTAGAACTAATTATGGAGAACAATTTGAAGGACACTTTTTAGTAAATTTTGAAAATGTTCTAGGAGTCTTCATGAAAAGTACCTCGAAAAATTAAAGAATGTTGTTAAAAATCGTAGTTTTGAGTCGAGCCAAATCGGTCATGGAATATCTATTTTTCAAAAAATTCTATTGATAGTTTAGGCATCATTGTTCACAGACGGACGGATCGACCTTTCGAAAAATTCCTTCTTTTCGGTATCAAGGATCCACAATTTCTGAAATATGACTACATTACGTGTTAGAGTGGATACGATAGTACTCATCAGAAAAGGTTTAAACACTTTTTCTGTATCGTGGCGGCACAATACGAGTTTTCTGTCAAAAAATCGACGTTTTAGTTGCATCATTACATAACTTTCTTTTCGTGAGTACTACGTAAAACGTTACTCGTGGATTTATAGGATTAATTATCCTGTAACCATTACGGTCAAATGTTGCCTCATGCTGTCATGTGTGAATATTTGTTTCCGCTCTTAAGACTGGAAAGATGAACAAGTCGTTACCTATTTATAATTTCAACTAATGTTTATTTTCTAAAAGACAAAAAAAGAGCTATGGTACCATTGCATGACGTAAATCTACTAATATCCCTATAATTCCTAATCATTGCAAATCACGATGGTTATTGTAGAGTACATTTTTGGCCATAATATCGGTCGGACGTTTTCGTACAATGTGCCAGATGCGTACATGTCCTATTACACGCGAATGGTGATAGTGAACCCGAACGACCTCTTCCGAAGGCTTTTAAAAGCAGATGTAGATGGTCTTGAGAATTGTTTTTGCAAAAGTTTAAAAATTTCAGCCGTGAAAACATGGGAATGTTCCATTTCGAGTGCAGCATTCGATTGTTTTTCATAAGAAATAAGTCGTACGATTTCGCTCGCAGTTGTCCGGTAACGAACGACCGATATTTCGGTTCCATTGTGTCCGTAGCTGAGATGTGTACATGCTGGGGCTCTCCCAGCCACACCGTACCGTAGAGAATCAACCATGTGGGTGATAAACATCCGGAATATCTATAATTTGGATACAAATTTGCGAAATAAAATCACTTAAAGTGAATGTTTGGTCACGATTTGCCCACAAAGTTAAATGCAGGAAAACACATAAATGCCAAGGCGACCCAAGCCGAAATGAAACTTCTCACAACTACCTTTAATCTACAGAAACAGTTAAATATATTATTCTACAAATTAGCCACAGCGATTTGCAAAACAATCTGAAGACCGATAATGCTATATGCTGCCCAATTTGGATCAACTCTGCGAAAACTAACATTCACAAACTACAAAACTTTCAACATAAATTCTTAGGAATAGTTGCCCATCCCCCTTGGTATAGAACCAACAAACACAACAAATTCAATAAAATAACAAAAAAATTCATAATGAATTTAACCTGAAACTCATAGAGCAAGACATTACATAGCTGTCTTCCACCTTTTATTATAACCTACCTCAAATCCCAACCCTTTCATCCATCAAAATGTCCAAAATCCCCATGTTCCAAACAAGAATAAAAATCAAATATCCATACCAAATATTCCTAAAAACATTTGCAAATTTAGATCCTGATTGAGGACCCGTAACGGGAATTCTTCCCCGTTGTAATAGTTTGTATGTTTACATTTAAGTATAGTAAGTAAGTCTCTAATACATATATATAGTTGTATTTACTGAGCCATGTACTTTCTTCAAGAAAATTAATTTTAAAAAAATATTGGTCTACATATGGAATTTTCGTGTAGATCTAGATTTAGTGCACATAAAACACGACAATCTGTACTTATAATACTGTAGATAGACTTCAGTCCTTTTGTGTAACAAAAACCGCAAAAACTACTATGTACATTATTAGTGGACTTCCGTAAGTACAATATCGTATGCATTAAAGCTTTTTTGCTAAATTTATGAGTTATGAAATTGTGTTTTTGAAGTGCGAAATTCGATGAAAATATGAGCCACCAAAAATTGAACTTCAACTTAATTGATGTTTGCACGTCGAACGAATACGAAATGAAACGGAAATAAATTTTTGTATCAGTTTTGTTTCTTATGAAGCATATAGTTTGTAAAACAGGTAGCTCTCTTCTCGAGCCGTCTAGAATAAAGTTAGCTTACATTCACAGCGCACGCTCTCTAGGTCAAATTTCTTCTAGTAAATAGAAAAACGTTCGTTGGCAGGCATTTTTGAGAGATAAGAGCAGTTATCTTGGATTGTTTCACTTCAGGGCTTGCTCCCATTCCTTCCATCCTTTCTCCTTCGTTTTGCCATATGTATGTGTATGTCAATGTATGTGTATGTCAATCGAAATGATTATATCCAAAAAGTGCTATATTTTGTAAAATATGCGTGTTATCATTAATAGGAGCACTTTACAAACTAATTCACTTGCATATGCGAGTTTCTCACCTTCACTATCTTCGCGTATCTTGCATAAAAATGTCGGCTTCTAAGAACATTTTTATTTTAACACTTTCAGCGCGTGTGTTTTTCGCGGTTTTGGCCTTACGCCGTCACAGAAGGGAAAGTAAACCCAAGCCGAAAGAGTTATTGTTGCCGGAAGCCCCCCTCCCGCCATGTCACGTTGCGACACGCGCGAGTTGTGTTGCGGACCTACACACGCGGGCGCGTTCACGACGAATGTTCTCATGCGTGAGAAAAAAGCTTGCACCTGCGTTGGGGGGCGTGATTTTTCCCATTGATATGAAATAATGGCAAGACTGCATTTGCCCCGGTGGAGTAGTGCATTCAGAACTCATTTACATGAAAGTAGCCGACGTAATTGTGGATTCCAACAACTGTATTCCTGATTTATACAGGATAATAACACGTAATTACATCATGGTAATACGCATTGTGAACCTTCAGACATTTTTTATCTTGTGTGCTTACTAACATGCTAATTTATTTTTAGTGCTCTGTTCAAAAGAGAACCTCTAGTAGTATCAACGTATTGGAAATAATAAAAAGAGATTTACAGTGGGACAATGAGAAAGTAGATAATTTCTGTTAATTGATATAATTTACGAAAACTATGAGAAACAATATTGGAATTCACAGTTTGTATTTTAGACTAAGTTCATTTCTTCTGTATCACTTTGGTTATTTTATTTTGAGGTTGTTATCAGTTTATTCTTTCTTTGATTAGTCATTATATTTTTTTCTTTTTTTGATCGTGAAACTCTTACTGTAAATTCTTCCTGTTCGAAAAATTCTTTAGAGAGCGTTTCTGTTTTTCTGAGGTTACTTAGTTTCACATTCGCAAACCTTGAGACGTTTTTGTTCGAGAGATACGTATTTTTGTCTAATATTTTGAAATATATTAATTTTGGTGAACATCTCACCAGAGATATATTTGAAATTTTAATGAAAGATAACTTTCATCACAATGCATCTTAATTTTCAAGAATTGGTAAAAGAAGACCAAACATTTCCATAGTGCTTAGCGGAAAAAATAATTGTTTCTCACAAAAATGTTTCATTTAATTTTCTCCAAGCCGTTCTCGTCTTTAAGATCATGATTTGATTATGGTCTGCTTCAAACTTCTGATGTTTCAGTATATAAAATTGATAAATAATTATAATTTATTATTAGTGATATTAATCGTAATAACGTTCTGGAA